GGGTTTGAACCACCAGCCTTCTGGTTAGCAGTCAAGTGCCTTAAGCACTATGCTACCAGAGCTCCTACTTGTGGCCCACCAAGGGGATTGGAGAGCTTTCACTATGCCCTTTTGGGATGATATAATGCAAATAAGGTGTATGGAACTCTAAAGTGTAGATTGATCATTTTTGCCATCCCAGTAGGCTTAAAATGAGCCATCCCAAAGGTGGGAAGCAGGGAAAACTCATCATCACAAAGAAGAAAAGATACTTGGGAACTGGGATCCCTGTGCTGGAAACCTCCTGCCCTTAAGAGACAGAGAGAGAGAGCTATAACATCTGAGACAGTGAGAAGCAGCAGCAAAGAAATGGCAGCAGGAGAGGCAGCAGAACTGGAAGACTGGTAGGAGTCAGCGTGGTGGGCTTCACACCCTATGCAGTGAGAGAACTGAGTATCTTTGGGAAGAAGACTTGCTGGCAGAGTTGAGTGCCTCCAAGCAACTAACAGAACTCAGTTTACTGACCCATGGAGCGAGAGAGCTGAGGTCCTTCAGGCCAAGGCCTACTGGAAGCACAGAACAAGAGCGCTGAGTGCCTCTGGGCAAGAGGCTTGCTGGCAAAGTGGAGTGGGGCCCCTCCAGGCACTTGTCAGCAGAACTAGACCTGCCAATGCACAGAGCTAGAGAGCTGCAAGCCTTCCAGCTAAGACTTACTAACAGAGAGAAGTGCCTCCTGGCTCTTACCAGTGGAGCTAAAGTAGCAGGGCAGAGGCCAGGCAAAGGAGCTAAGGACCAGACCGAAGCCTGCCTTCAGACTTGGCTGAGAAGAAGTTGTCCTGACCAAAAACTGTATCCTGATTTGTTCCAGATCCTGAATTGTAACCTGTTACTTCTCTAATAAACCTCATAATCATGAGAATTGTCTGACTTCTGTGTGGCCATTGCAATCAATTACAAATGGATTATCATGAACCCAGCAGAGAGGTAGAAAGTGCAGTGCAAGGGACAGCTGGTGTCAGAATTAATAAAAAGGTTGGAGAGAGGAGGCATGTCTGATTTCCACCTTATAGGAATCAGCTTTGGGCTAATGCTGATGATGTTTGTCCTTCTCACTTGTAACATTAGACAAAGAGATCTGACACTGCTACCATGTCACCATTTTTTGCTAGTTATCATGGGGGCTCACAGACTTGCATCTGGAATCTGAAGTTTTGGGCAGACTTGGCAGAGTCTGGAATACTGTGTCCTTTAACTTGTGAGATCTGACAGAGCTACAGATAGTTAGGGTCAGGGGAAGTGTTACATATGAAGCTGGTGTCAAAACAGTTAGTAACAGAACTGAATTTATTTGGTTAATACCTACAGTTTACTGTCAGAGAAATGGAAAGTGGAATTTTTTTCTTTTCTACAGAAACTCCTTAATTCAACAAATAATTATTGAATACTCCATGTATCAGGCATTGCTCTAGGACAGTATATCTCAACCTCAGCATTATTGACATTTGGGGCCAGGCATTTCTTTGTTGTGGGTGGAAGATGTGCTGTCTTGTGCATTGTAAATATTTCTTGCAGCATCCCTGACCTCTATTCATTAGATACCAGTAGCACCTTTACTCCTACTTATGACATTCAAAATGTCTTTAGACATTGCCGAATGTCCCCTGTTTGGGGGGAGGGCACAGGACAAAATGCTCCTAATTGAGAAGCACTGCTTTAGCCATTTATAAAGTTGAGCAAGACATACAAGCTCCCTGCTCTCATGAAAATTACGTCCCAGTTACAGTAAACACCATAAGTAAGTGAAAGATTAAAATATTCTTTCAGAGAGTTATAAATGCCATGAAGAAAGTTCTCAAAGATGATGTGACAGAATGACCAGTGGGATTTAGGGAATTCCGCGGAAGAAAGGTTGAGCAATCTACTTTTGTAGTGATATCACCTCGGAAACCCAAGGAGGGGTCACTAGGAGTCAGATCTGATTTGATGGCAGTGAGTTTGGTTTTGGTTTTTAGATTCATAGCCAGGGAAGACCTCTCTAGGAGTTGGCATCTGGGCTGAGGAATGAAACTGGTGAAGGAACCAGCCAGGGAAATAACTAGAGGAAAACATTCCAGGAAGGGAAACAGTGAATTTAAAGCCCCTCTGAGGACAGGTAAGGCTGGGTTTACTCTGATGATGCAGCTCTTTCCCAGTCCTATTTTGAGACCCTTCTAACTTATCTGGACTATTCATAAAGTTGTGCAGTGATGTATCAGTGTTTCTTTGCTATTCATAAGGTTTTCCCTGGCCAATTCTTTGAGAAGTGGACAGCCTCTTCCTTCTTCCTAGTCTCTCAGTCTGTAAGCTGGGCTGATACCTGTGCACCATGTGCACCCCGCTGGGTTTGAAACACCAGTGGCTCAGCCGCAAGACTCACATCAACACGTCACCGTCACCACGGTAGGACAAACCGACAGATAAGTTTGTCTCCCTGTTGGAAACCTCTCCAACCACTCTTACCTGGGTCCCTGCGGCTGACTTCTCGCTCTGTCACGGTCCCTGGACCAATTCCTCTCCTCTCTCCCATTCTCCCACCCTGCCACTTGGACTTTCTGGCCTCCAGTTGTGGTTCTGGCAAAGAATGCTGAGAGTACCATGGATTGCTAAACGAACTAACAGATCTGTTCTGAAGGAAGTGCAGCCGAAATGCTCCTTAGAAGTGAGAATGGCCAGACTTTGTCTCACCTACTTTGGTCATGTTGTCAGAGGGGACCATTCCCTGGAGAAAGATGTCACGCTTGGTAAGGTGGAGGGTCGACGGAAGAGGGGAAGGCCTTCTTTGATCCATCTGGAGTTAGTTTTTGTGTGTTGTGTGAGGTACAGATCTTGTCTCATTTTTCTGCAAATGTTTTGCCAGCACCATTTGTTGAAGAGACTATTTCTTCCCCATTTAATGGATTTCAGCCCTTTGTCAAAAATCAGCTGACCATAGCTCGATGGATCTATATCTGGGTTCTTAATTTTGTTCCACTGGTCCATATGTTTTTCATTGTACCAATACCAGGCTGTTTTGACTATGTGGCTGTATAGTAGATTTTGAGATCTGGGAATGTGAGACCTCCTAATTTGTTCTTCTTCTTCAATAGTGCTTTGCTTATCCGAGGTTTCTTTCCTTTCCATATAAAGTTAGTGATTGGTTTTTCCATATCCTTAAAGAATGTTGATGGGATCTGGATTGGGATTGCATTGAATGTATAGATGGTTTCGAGTAGAACTGACATTTTCCCAGCGTTCAATCTTCCTATCCACGAGCATGGTATGTTCTTCCATCTATGTAGATCTCTTACTGTTTCTTGAAGTAGTCTTTTGTAGTTTTCTTTGTACAGGTCTTTTGTGTCCCTAGTAAGATTTATTCCCAAGTATTTTATTTTTTGGGTACCTATTGTAAATGACATTGATTTCTTTATTTGTTTTTCAGCAATCTGTCTGCTGGTGTAGAGGAATCCAACTGGTTTTTAGATATTTATCTTGTATCCCAACATGATGCTAAATCTCTCAATTAGATCCAGTAGATTTTTTACTGAGTCTCTTGAGTTTTCTAGGTATAGGATCATATCATCAGCAAATAGAGATAGTTTGACTTCTTCCTTACCAATTTGGATGTCTTTGATTTCCCTTTCTTGCCTTATTGCCCTGGCTAGGACTTTCAATACAATGTTGAATAAAAGTGGTGATAGAGGGCAGGTGATCAGGAATGGGTGTTGGATTTTATCAAATTCCTTTCTGCATTGATTGATATGATCATGTGGTTCTTTTCCTTTGTTTGATTTATGTGATGGCTGATATTGATTGTTTCTCTAATGTTGAACCATCCTTGCATACCTGATATGAACCCCACTTGGTCATAATGAATTACATTTCTGATATGTTGCTGGATTCTATTGGCTAGGATTTTGTTGAAGATTTTTGTAGCTATATTAATGAGAGATATTGGTCTGTAGTTTTCCTTTTGAGTGATTTTGCCTGATTTTGATATGAAGGTTATGCTTGCTTCATAAAATGAATTAGGGAGGATTCCATCTTTTTGTATATTTTGGAATATTTCTAGTAGGATTGGTGTCAGTTATTCTCTGAATGTTTGGTAGAATTGTCCAGTGAAACTGTCTGGGCAGGACTTTTTTTTGTTGGTAATTTTTTTATGACCTGTTCAATTTCTTCTTTTGTTACAGATCTGTTCAACTTTTCCATCTCAATCTGTGTTAGTTTAGGTAAGTGGTGTGTTTCTAGAAATCTGTCCATTTCTTCCAGATTTGTTGGAGTACAGTTCTTCATAGTATCCTGATATTATCATTTTTATTTCAGTTGGTTCTGTTGTGATGTCCCCCAATTCATTTCTTACTCATGTTATTTGTATTCTCTCCCTCTTTTCCTTTGTTAAATTTGCCAGTGGATTGTCAATTTTATTAATCTTTTCAAACAATCAACTTCTAGTCTTGTTGATTTTTTTCTATAGTATTTCTATTTTCTGTTTCATAGCTTTCTGCTCAAATCTTTATTATTTTCTTATGCTGACTATAGGCTTTTTTTGTTGTTCTTTTTCTAATTGTTGGAGATGCTGATTTAAAGTGTTGATTTTGGCTCTTTCTTGTTTTTGGATGTGTGCATTTATTGCTATAAATTGGCCTCTGATTGCTGCTTTTTCTGTGTCCCAAAGATTTTGGTATGTTGTATTTTCATTCTCATTTGATTCAAGGAATTTTTTAATTTCATTTTTTATTTCTTCTATTAGCCAGTCATTTTTGAGGAGGGTGTTGTTCAGTTTCCATGTGTTTGCTGTTCTTCCATTGATCTTCCTATTGTTGATTTCTAATTTGATAGCCTTGTGATCTGAGAAGATTCTTTGCAGTATTTCAATGTTTTAAAATTTAGTAAGGCTTCCTTTATGGCTTAACATATGGTCTATCTTGGTGTGGTAGTTAAGATTGTGTGTCAACTTGGCTGGGCCTGGTTGAATGGCTGGGCAACTGAATGTAGTTATTCCCCTTGGTGAGATTAGTAATAAAATCCATGGAGGAATCTATTGGGGCAGCTGAGTAGCTGCTTTGTGTATGTATTTTGCTTCCTATATATAAGAAACAGCTTTGGGAATGGTCTCTAGCTGATGGTATGCTTGAACTCTGCATGCAGACGAGTTGTTGTTCAGCAGCCTGCCATGCTCTGCCAATCTAGAGACTTTTAATGAACTTGAATTAAAGGCCTGCCATGTGGTTTGGTAATATTGGGACTGTGCCTTGTTAGTTGTTGACATTGGGCTTGTCGGCCTCAGCATCCAACAGCTGAGTGAAGAAAAGGCTCCAGCTTCAGTGGGCCATAAGCAGGAGGCAGAGCTGAAGTCCAAGGCCGAGAGACTTCACCCAGCCCCTAGACCCTGGCACTTTGAACTTGGACTTAAATTCTCCAAATTGTAAGAGAATTAAGCTCCTGTTTTTTAAGGCCATCTTCTTTGTGGTATATTCTTTTCAGAGCAGCACTGGGTAACAAGAACACCTGAAGAATGTTCCATGTGCATGGGAAAAGAATGTATATTGTGCTGTTGTTGGGTGAAGTGCTCTGTAGATATCTATTAAGGTCAAAGTGGTGGATTGTATTGTTTAGGTCTTCTGTGTCTTTGTTGAGTTTCTTTCCAGTTATTTTATCTTTCATTGAAAGTGGTGTATTAAAGTCTCCCACTATGACTGTGGAGTCATCTATTTGCCTTTTCAATTCTTTTAAAGTCTGATTTATGTATTTTGGGGTTCTTTTATTGGGTCCATAGATATTGCTTATATTTATATCTTGTTCAATTATTCCTTCAATCATTATATAATGTGCTTACTTGGT